CGAAACGTCTCTTTGTATATGTGAAAGCGGGTCTTGAGCTGTGGTAACACGCTGCCATGGCTACAGTAGCATGAGCGGGGGTTGAAATCTGGGCCATATGCCGAGTCTGACTTTAATATTGTCATGATTTTGGGGTGACTATAGACGGGGTTCGGATTGGTGGTTGGATTTTTTGACCACTTTACACACCACTCGAGACTACTAGTAATTACAGCGCTATCGCTGATTTCCACACTTTACAAATCACTACACGCCAAATCTTCTCCAGCCTACAGTGTCTTCACTAGACATTGCTTGGTAACAGCTCTCAACAGTAGAGAATCTTCTGCTTCTGTGTTCACATCGTTACCGTCCGGCGAATATCCCACAACTGAACTGTCAACTTAAATTACAACGCCATCTCTTCTCAACCTCCTTTGCAGAGCTCAACTCTCAACCAACTGGGTCGCCCCAGTTGTCTTCCTTATAACCACTTTGCATGGGCCGAGTAGAGAACACCGTTTCCCACAGTAACTGTATTATTGCGTGCGTATTCGTTGCCGCGGGAACGTGTTTATCCATCCGTTGCCTAGAAACGGTCGTTTATTTGCCTATCTCGCAGTCATTGCATAGCAACGGCTGTGAAGGTAAAAAGGTAAAGTTGTACCTGTGCTTAACTAATTAAAACACTACACCATGAAGGCGAATGGGGGAATGGATACATTAATCCGCATTTTATTGACCTCGACACTAGCTGGAGGTGAGTGGTCAGCTTCACACACCGGCCGTTTTACCACCGGGTAAAGAGCCCCCGGAACCCATTGGATAGGAGGTTGGGTGAACCCCAGGGCCGGTCTGGACGACATGAAGAAGAGAAAATTCTTGACTCTACCGAGACTCGAACTCCGACCTCTCGGTCGTCCAGCCCGTAGCCAGTCGCTATACTGACTGCGTTATCCCGACTCCTTAGCAACGGCTGCACATGCTACAATATGCTCTTGGGTTGTTTTCATATGCTTGCTTATCTGCTAGAGGTTATAATTACGAAAAGTTTCATAATTCTGTTATCGGCTTCCTTCGATGAAGTTGTGAGTGAGAGGGAGCACCTGCAGAGGTGTATCACAATTCATTCGAAAGATAACTTCGCCCGGATATAGGGGGGAGTAACAGTTTTGCGATCAGATGTAGGGAAGCTGTGACGTTGCCCTATTTCTGGTTACCAGTGCTTAGTGTTAAAACCTACGAACCAGTTTTGCTTCGTTGAATAAATTTAGGCCCACATAGTAGGACACTTAAGGCGCGTCCACATTACTCGTGCTCGTGCTCCCGCTCGCCAGGCTTGTGCTCGTCGGGAGACTCGTCTGGCTTTTACTTGTGCTCGTAAATCTTCGTCCACACTACTTCAGTTGCTCGCCAGGCTTCGGTGCTTGAGGATCCGTATATTTACTCGTAGTGTGTATAGGCTGTAGTCGTATTTTAATTTATTGGCTATAGTTTTTAAATTAAAAATTTATAATTTGCTTGTCTCGTGACTTGTCATATCGTCCACATTACTTGCGAGCATAGCGAGTCACACGAGCACGAGCACGAGTAATGTGGACGCGCCTTAAGAAGTGAGCAGTGTTTTCTTACGTTGTTGGTCCTGTCGTTTTATTCTGCGAATGATGGCAATAGATATTGATATGAATATGAAAAATGTAGTTAGTGTTTATAGGTTCTGAACTTCTCATTACGATAGTTATGAGATATAACGCCGTGTAGTCCATTGAAAGTCGGTAGACGTTTCGGCTTTGCACCCCAGAAAATATTACTCCTCTAGTTAGCAACTGTCATCGAATATGAATTGCTTTCAAGTTGGAAGGTTTTTTTTTTGTATCTGAATCGGACGCCTAGATGTTTATGTTATACGCATTCCTCACATACCTGTACCTAGTTGTAGATTGTGGATATTCTCGGACTTGCTACTCAATACGTTCATGTAAACTGGTCTAAGTCCAAAAATCTTGTGTGGCTTTCATTATAACGTGGTGCGAGTAGGGTTACGTTCCTGGAGCCCAAGGACCATACCAATTTTCGGTATTTTTACCCCTAGTACGCTATAATTTTGTATTATAAAATCAATTAATCGACATCATCTAATGTAGTAGTAAACTCTTATTAAAATAATTAAGTGTAACCGTACGTCCCTCGCCGAAATTATTTAATTAAGGATATGACGAATTTATGCATTGTTTCACACCCTGAGAAACGCTCCTCCGGCGAGATACCATCCCGGAGCCCTCTAGTTGTTAGTCAACTGTTGTCTTCCTTAGGCAACGTCTACACGAGCGCACAAAATGCTTCCGTTGTAACGAACATACTTTGTTGAGGACGTTGCTGAGGACACCACACAGTTGCAGAATGCGGTGCGCAGTTTTTTGTCTGCAATGGAGCCAGAAGAAAGCGTAGCATTCGCCTCTCTTGTTTATTTCTACAACGGACGTCACGACATTCGTTACAACGGACGCATTTTGAGCGTTCGTGTAGACGCTGCCTTAGGCTTAGGGTGTCACTCTTTTCCCTAACGTCGCCAGTTTGCTCCTAGTGTCATAAACCCATCGGCTGACATTGTGCGAGACCGGCCAGAGGGGGTCTTGGGTTCCCTGCTCGTGTGCCTTGAAGACTTAAAAATGTTTATGATGGGCATCTCAAAAAAAAAAAATACAAATTTAGGACAGATGCAGGGCTCCACCCTTGGATTTCTCTTGTTATTTTCTTGTTTTGTTTTATGCCCACTGGGGAACTTGTAAAGAGAGGGCAGTTGGTTATAGGGAGCGGAGGTGGACAGTTGAAATGTAGACAGAGAACAGAGAAGTGTTTTACAGTAGGGGTAGCGAGTAGGATGGACGGAGCGGCTAATGTAAAGATTGATCACTGTGCGAAATTTTAAATTAAGACTGCAATACACGGTGTGTTCTGGAGACCCCGTAATTCATGAACCCCGAAGTGTGTTCCAGTCCCAAATCCGAAGCACCCGTATCCCTGAGATAAAGAACTCATCTCGAGCAACAGTCGTGGCAGCTGTAAGTCGGCGGGCGGCTATATAAGTTACTTACGAGAATCTAACGGCAATGATTCTGAAGATTTTTATCCTCTGGGATGTAAGACCGTATACGTCGTAGTCAGGTGAAAGTCAATAGACATTCCAGAAGAGTACATCTGTCTGCTGCCTACCTCATGCCCATGTCTTGCTTTGCGTTCTCATAACCCTGAAGACGGACATGACGTATTCTTCCGATGTCATTTTACTTTCTCCTTACTGCATAGCGTTACATCCCAAAAGGCAGTGCTCCTGAAGTAGGTTAATATTGTCATGTGTTAATGACTAGACACGGAGTTCGGATTGATAATTAGATTTATTGGAAGTTTATAACTCGTAACTACAAATGGTCATAACAGTCTTGCTGATTTATACTCTCTGTGAATAACTAGAAGTTCAGCACACACAGAATCTTCTGTTTGTTATCCTGTCGTCACTACTTGTTGCTAGGTAGTTTCTAACAGTGGAGCTTCCTCACCGCTGACCACGAACTGTCATTGCTGAGTTCCAGCTCATGATAGACCAACTGCCGACTCCGACCTCTACCTGGCTACTTTGCTCGTTGGTCTTCGCTATATAGCCTCGGGCAGGACCACACAGAAAACACTGCTTCCAACAGTTCGCCTATTCTTGTGTGTTGATTCGTTGTTGCGTAACATGTTTACCGTGCCACTACTTAACAGTGCCCACCTTTCCTCTACTACTCTTTTGACCTTCATGTCACGTCTTCTTCGCGGCTTCTCGTCCCGAGTAGCCAGCCTACAGGCCTACCGTCATTTCTTCTTCTCCTCCGAGGGGACGTGCCTTTGATGTCTGTGATCGGCATCGTGAACAGCACCTCCACCTTATGCTGGCTTCGAAGCCTTTTCTTCCGGCCTCAACGGCGTTCAACCTTCATTGCTCATGTGTTGGGTCTTGCGCTGCTGTTCCCCAACTGATCCCTCCTTGAGGCTGTACAAGTTGTCTGTCTGGTAGAGCAGATCATGCCCTAACTTATGTAGCTCATGTTACAATGACTGCCAAGTCATTTGAATGGTCGTACGCTTGACCGCCGCCAAGCTTAAGCCTGTTATATTTTCTATATCGGGATCAAAGTCAAAGTCACATTGTGACTGACAAGATATTTATTACTCTTTGACAGTTACGACCTTGTTTTTGTGGGGCGCCCTCTCTGACGAAAGGACGGGTTTGTCTTTTGTATCTGCTACTGGCCCTTGCAGCGCAGTCTTTATCGGGTCCGAGTCCATATGGACTCGTGACCATATTTTACTGTCTCAGATTTGAGACTCTCCTTTTTTTGTCGCCTTCTAATACGACTCGCAGGGTCACGGTGGAGGTATTGGACCCCGCCTCCACACTGGTATATGTCGGGATGACAGCCCTCATTGTATGGCCTCGGCACCGACAGCACAGAAAACACCGCTTCCAGCATTTCTTCTAGTGCTGGCTGTCGTTTTTATCCGCGCAGACCGCACAAAAAAAAACACCATTCCTCTCTTACGTTCCAATTTTTGTTATGCTGATGAGTTGTTTATTGTGCTGTAACCTAGTAAAGGGCATGTACTGTCTTCGCTCGCTTGGAAACAGGGATCGTGGGTTCGAATCCCACTCAGGGCATGGATGTTTAGTTTGTATGTGTGCGTCTTTCTGTTTGTATACAGGTAGAGGCCTTGCGACGAGCTGATCACTCGCCCAAGGAGTCCTACCGAATGTGTAAGATCTAGAAAAACCGGAGAAGTTCATGGAGAAAGGCCTAGGCCCACTGGGGCTGTAGTGCCAAGGGGAAAAAAAAACCTAGTAACCGCCCTCCCTTCCGTTGTAATATCAAAATATGAAAGTGTAGAACTCTCCATTATGCGTTTATTTCGTATTTTTTTTAAACGCAGCACAAGACAGGAGTACGACAGGACATTGCATTAGCTGTTTACTTTCTGTACCACAGGGTGGCCAAAGATCTCGAGGACCGGCGGAGCCATTACGAGCCGTCGGTCGGAGCGGTCCCGGACGAGGCGGAACACTCCTTCAAACTAGAGGAGCACGACTTCGTACCCCACTTCCAACGTGTCTCCGTCAGTGGCGAAGATACCAGCGGGGTGAGTAGCGATGTGCTCTGTGGTTTTCGAAATAGAGAAGCTATTGGGAGAGGTGTTTTCTGTGCGGTTTATGCCGAGGAGTTGTAAGCAGGGTAAGTCGTAGTGTTTAGGTAGTTGGGAGACAGTCGCCGGCCAGTAAGCTACGGCATTGGAAGCCGTTACCAGACGACAACCGATCAAGTAACAGCAGACTGAGAAATCTTAGTGCGCCCTGCAATGAATTGTCAGAGTGTCTTCACAAGAACACTCCACTGATCCCTATCCTAAGCCAGATCAATCCAGTCCATACCACCCCATTCTGTTTCTCTTAGTTCCATATTGATATTATCCAGGCACCTACGTCTTAGTCTTCCCAGTGACCTCTTTGCTTCCGGCTTTCACACCAATATACAGATATATGCATTCATCTTCTCCCCATTCATGCTACATACCTTGCCCATCTCAACCTTGATTAGAGCATTCTAATTATACTTCACGAAGAATACAATTTATGACGCTCCTCATCATGCAGTTTTCTCCAACCTTCTATCACTTCAGCCAAATTTGGTCCAAATATTCTCAAAGACCCTCAGTCTATGTGCATCCTCCCATGTGATGGACCAAGTTCCACGCCCATACAGAACCACAGACAAAATCATAGTTTTGTGTATTCTAGTGTTTACTTTTTCAGACAGCAAACGAGACAAAAGTTTCGGGACTGAGTGGAGGGGAAGCATTACCCAAATTCAATCTCTTACTTTCCTCCGGAATCATTATAAAACCTTACATGTGGTTTTAGGGCCTTCTAGTTTTCATAAAGTTCGAAATGACGAAAGTATGCTGTCACGAAAAAGACCGACGCAAGGAACGCAAATGGTTACTGTGTTCTACGACACGGTTGGTACCTGGCCAGTTTTGTTTTGCAAGAAAACAGTCGGAGTTCTTAAAAACAATTATTAGGATAATTTATATCTGAAAGGTACATTATTTGATTAGAATATATATTTTGCTAAGTTCGAAAGTAACTGAAAGTATGAAAATTTACTATGTCCTTGCTGTATCTGTGGAATGACCGAAGTGAACTGGTAAAAATGTTTATTTACTTGTTTGGCGGTATTGACTGGAAGTTTATATTAGATTTAATGGTTTCATTGCAATGAAGATTCATACTGTGGTGTTCTAACGACCGGCAGCCCGGTACCAAAGTAAATCCATCTTCAGGGTGACAGATGGAGGCTGTATATTCCTCCATACATATTGTGCTCCCCGTCAGACTACACGATGCCATAATGGAGAATGTGATGGCATTAATTACTGTTTCCTTGAATAAAATAATGAAAATGCCCCGTGAACAGTGAGTTCATAAAGAGTTCTCGCTTCTGAGATATAACGCCGCGTAGTCCGTTTAAAAATCAGCCGACGTTTCGGACGAACATGTCGCTTCCATCTTCATTGTCGAAGAATAAGCCATGCAAGAAACCAACATGAAGCAGGTAACAAGTAGAGCTAACGTTCGGCTTTCAGCGGCCTACACGGCGTCATATCGCAGAAGATAGAATTTTTCGTAGCCACCTCCTTGAGAATTTCAATTCCTGCAGGTAATTAAAATCTCCCTCTTTAGTTCTGTAATTCCTTGTTCGCAGATTTCTCTCTTACGCCGAAAATTGTTATTTGAATATCCTGACTGCAACTTTCCTAAACTCTCCTTCAACGGGATGTTTCTTATGGACTAATTTTCCATCCCTTCCTCCGCCTGACTTCCGAATTCTGCCTGCTGACTGCCTTCTGCAGTCTCTTTCTATAACATTATATAACATCCAGACCTGTTACAGTGTCTTTCTGGAAAGGGGGCCAGAGCTCCGCCTTCGAGGTCGATATTACCAATTTTTCCATTGGTGACAGGACTTCTGGTACAAGGCTGTGACTTAATTAAACACTTCACTTTATCTGGAGTTCCAAGGAAGAGTGGCGCCTTCCTGACAAAGATACCTTACAAAAGACATACAGTTCAGAATGTGGGGGTGGGGTCTTGGAAGCTACTCACAATTAAGGCTTTCCCTTGACCATTAACTTTGATTAAGAAATCGGCATAGAGTGCGGTCACATTTTATGCGAGGATGTGTTCCTGGAGACCTCGCACAATTCAAGACAAAATTCTGGCCGATTTTTTTTGGTGGTGGGGGGAATTCGTATTATTTCAAACTTTCCGCACAAAGTAAGATTTTATTAATATATATTGCAATATTTTAATTACCGAAAAATACGACCACACTGTATTTGCAATAGACTTTAATGCCTAGCATTTGGTGAAGTACCCCTAACAGCAGTGCTTCCGGTTTCAGCACCTGCATTGCTGTTAATGTTAAGGGAGTGCCGGATAGAAACTTGCATATGTGTGGGAAGACATATTGCCGTGACGCAAAATCGGTTTGACCTGTGGAATATTTAGTTGTTCCTGCGTTAGGCGTCCCGAAGATTGAAGGGAAGATGCTTGAGAGACAAATTTGTAATGATGTCGAGCCGAACACTTGATATAGAAGAAAACAGACGAGGATAATTTTGGCATCTAATGTTTCGGTCTCCGAAACTCAGAACCGTTGTGATCGTCCAAGTAGGTGTTTTTTATTGCTAGTGGGGTGGGACTAAGTCCCTTGTACTGCGGCCACTTCTGGCCTATTGTACTAGCCCCAGATGATAGGTGAGGGTGATTGTGGAGCAATTGGTGGAATGAAGATTGGCAGGGGAAACCGAAGTACTCGGAGAAAACCTGCTCCAGCGCCACTTTGTCCACCACAAATCCCACTTGACCCGACCCGGGATCGAACCCGGGCCGCCGCGGTGGGAAGCCAGTGACTAACCGCAAGAGCTATGGCGCATCCAAGTAGGTTACACTAAGAACGAATTTATCACCTAGTAGTTTCACATCATCAGTATAGACTAACAGCTAATGTGTCCCATTTAATTTCAGTCCCACCTGGTTTTCCTGGACCTTCCTAATGTCAAATTCTAAAGCAAAGTTGGAAAGCTGTGGCGTTAAAGCATCTTGTTTTAGACTATTCTGGATAGGAAAATTATCATACAAATGTTTACCTAAATGAACTTTACCATACGTTTCGTTTAAACGCATTTTCATCTGCCTAACTGGTTTCATGCATACCCCAAACTTTATCAGAATATTGTATTGTACAATACTTCCCGCCTAACTGAATCACAGGCTTTATTGAAGTCTATGAATGTCTGATGTCCTGTCTCATTGTACTCCCATTTATTCCCCGGTATTTGACGAATGCAAAAGGTCTGATCAGTAGTTGATGTGTTACGTCAAAATCCATACAGATGATCCCCCAATAGTTTCATCTACATATGGACTTAACCTTGAGAGGAGAATATTGGATGGAATGTTGTATGAAGTTGATAGCAGCGATATCCTCCGATAATTACTACAGTCAGTATTATCGACCTTCTTGTGAACTGGTACAATATTATACTCCCACTGATCAGGCAATTTTTCCGTATTTCAAATAAAATTAGTTAGGTTATGTATCTTAAAATGTAATATTTCGCCTCCTGCTAGAATAAGTTCTGCCGGAATTTGATCACTACCTGGCGATTTATATCTTTTCAACTTTGCAATAGCATCTTCAACCTCAAACTAACGGTACTGACGTCTCTGCTGTATGGATTTCTGTCTGCCTAACAGCACTGACTCTATGTACATTCAATAACTGAGAGAAGCAGTTCCTCAACCTATTCAAAATGTTGTGGGAATCTGCAAGCAGATCACCATTCTCATCCTTCGCTAAGTTACTTCTAACTTGGTAANGCTCCAGGACTGACTGACTGTGAATAGCCTTCGCTGCTCCTTATGTAGCCTTGATCGGACAATTGTCGTCTGGTGCCGTGTTGCTACGTCACGGTAGGAAGCGGTGACGCGTCACCGTGTTTGCGTATATCCTAGCAACGCTGTCCGGAGTTGTTGACTGCTGCCTAGCAACCGCGATATCCCTTGGTGACGTCACCACGGAGGGGAGTGGCGGGGCGGGAACTCGCCTATTACCGTAGTAACGCGAGCGCTACGTTACCGCCACGTACCGCTGGGGAGGTAGGGGTCAACATGTCACAATACCTTTTCAACTTTGCAATAGCATCTTCAACCTCAAACTAAGGGTACTGACGTCTCTGCTGTATGGATTTCTGTCTGCCTAACATCACTGACCCTATGTACATTCAGTAACTGAGAGAAGCAGTTCCTCAACCTATTCAAAATGTGGGAATCTGCAAGCAGATCACCATTCTCATCCTTCGCTAAGTTACTTCTAACTTGGTAACCACTCTTGAAGTCATTTATTCCTCTGTACAGGTCTCTAATGTCCTTGTTCTTACTGTTCATTGCAAGCTCATCAATTTTGTCTTTCAGATATTCCCTCTTTCATTTCCTGAAATGCCTGCTGGTTTCACGTCTTATATTGTTAAGATCATCTCCATTTTTTTTTTTTTTGCGCTTGGATCCTGTAACCACTGCCGTTTGGCTTCTTTCCTTTGGTCATAATAATTTTTGAGCGTCAATCTTCGAATCATGGCTTATGCTTCTTCCGTTAATAATAACCTAGACTCTGCATAAATTTTAATATTCACTCTAATCGTTTCTCAAACTTTATTAACATCCATCTCAGTGTGTAAGTTTGCCAAAGCTGCGAACCTGTTTGAGATTTCAGCACGATACTGCTCCTTACTGCCTACCTTGAGATTGAACCTGGTCATATGAACTGTATCAGTTATTTGTTTGCTCACTGCCAGTCTTTCCTTGAACATTGCTATCACCAGGTAGTTGTCAGTATCACAATCTGCTGAATGATAGGACATCAAGTATACTTGCATTTTGTCTCCTACCTATCAAAATATGGTCAGTTTGGTTGTGTGTCTTCCCATCAGATGTCCAAGTAAATTTATGAATGTTACGATGTGGGAATATCATACTTTTTACAATAAGGTTTTTGGGTGTGGCAAAATTTACTGCTCTT